GTCTTCTACCCTACTACTCCCCAGCTGGGTCTTAGATGTCTCTATTCTCTTTTCCCCCGCAGAGTTCGACAGTTTTCTGTACACAGTTCAGTTCTTCAACCTTTTTTACTTCCCCAGTTCCATTATGATTTTTTTTTTCAAAGTTTCAGCTTCTATACTCCACACCCCTTGCAATTGTTGCTACATAGCAAAAACATGATGAAGCTGATTTCAAGTGCTTACTGATGTGCTTTTCTATACCCAAGTGCTTACCACCCTTTCTTACTGACACCAGTCTCCTCCCCCATCACCTGCTCGAGATCACTACTGTTCTTTACCTCACTGAGGAATGCCTTTCATTCAGCCTTAAGCTATGCCTTTGCCTTTTCACTCATTTGCTTTCCTCAAATGGCATTCAAGGTAGTCTCACTTAATGGGGAAAGAACAAAGAGAGGGCGCACAGGCCTAGTGCATTACCATAACAAATGTTTAATAAAAAATAATAAAGTAGGTGTTGTACTCACAAACGACAATATAGTCAAGGCACATCATAAAAGAACAGCTGGGTCAACACCGCGCTGAGTAACAGTCCGCAATAGGGAGTTTAGACATCCAAATGCCTGACGCGTTTCGAGAACTTGCTTCTTCCTCAGAGGAAGAGGCAAGTCTTGGCTCTGAGGAAGAGGCAAGTCCTCGAAATGCGTCAGACTTTTGGATGTCTAAACTCCCTATTGCGGGCTGTTACTCAGCGCGATGTTGACCCAGCTGTTCTTTTATGATGTGCCTTGACTATATTGTTGTTTGTGAGTACAACACCTACTTTATTATTTTTTATTAAACATTTTTTATGCTAATGCACTAGGCCTGTGCGCCCTCTCTTTGTTCTTTCCCCATTCAGTATATTTGGATTCCCCCGGTCCATTTGAGGGCAGCAAGGTGTGCATGTTCCAGGACATTCTTAATGTGGTTGTAGCCTGCATCGAGTCCATCCCCAAGCGCAGGAGCATTTGTGTTTGCTGGTTCTTTAGTCTCACTTAATGTCAGAGGCCTGAATCACCCTGCAAAAAGATCATCGATGTAGAAGGAAGCCTCACTGTCAGGCTGACATACTCTGCGTACAAGAGACTCACTTTCCTGCGCTCCATGGCCCCAGATGTAGCCATAAAGCATTTCCTCATATCTTCCACCTAATGCATCTGAAGTCCTTGCGCTTGTTAAACTCTATTATTCTTATTAATGTGCCTTAGCATTATGGTCAGGCCAGATCTCGGCCTTTGAATCTGGTTGGGAACCCTGGATCACCTGGACGAAAGGGTGATCCTAGCCTCTCCACGTTACTCACTTCCATCTTGGCCTATCTTATCTTTCCTTATATGACCATTTGTACCATATTATTGATGACTAGTTGACCAATACTCCAACTGTATTGTGTGTGTGTTTTTCTTTTTTTCTCTTTCTGTTCTTATTTTCCCCTGTTATACAAGATAACAACTCTCATTGTAAGCCTGCGAATGGTGGAATAACCTGTATGTTTTGTTGCTTAAAATCAATAAAAAATCTATTGGCAAAAAAGAAATAAGGGGAAAAATTAGTCGTGAAAGATATAAAGGTGCTGCCATTCTTGGCTGGCTGGCTGTGTCTGGTTCACTATCTCTGAGTCACTGACCATGATAAGTTTTCTTTAAATTTCTTAGCATGGATTCCTGTTCATTGCACTTTTTTAGTTTAAGTGAAGCATTTCCCTTACTAATCTTTGTCAGTGGGTAAGCCATCAGCTGTCTTAACCTATATAACAATTAAAACGAATTGCCAGTTGTTTGGTGGATCATAACATACACTAGTGACTCAAGATTTGCAGACACTTATACTTTATATATGCTGTATTTCCTAGTCTGCTGTAGATCATTCAGAATCAAGTTCAGGCTTTGTTCATTGTACCACAAATAAGATAAATCTATGTATATATTGATTCAAAATAACCTGCCTATGTACTATTCACAGGTGCACCTTCCTCCATCTAAATCTAGCACTGTGCTAGCTCTCAGCAAATATGGAGGCAACCAAGCAGCTCTAGAGGGGTCAGGAGCCATGACCTCCCCTGAGTAGCGGAATCTATTCTAATGCCATTATTTCCCAAGTATAAGAGCCCTCTAAACTCCCCATTATGTCTGATTTCAAGCTGTAAACGTGTTTTAGCTTTACATTTTCTAGATTGAAAATATTTGTTTGTCCTTGATTTCTACTGTTTTTTCATACTTTTCTCTTATTAGCATTTTCCTCTAGTTCATTCATGTCAGGTTCACAGCAGAATTCGCTATTAAAAGATTTAATAAGTTCCCAGCTCAGCCAAATGTACTTGTAATGAAATTCTTTGTCTGGGAGCTTTTAACTGCACACCATTTTTTATTTCTGTGCCAAGCTCAATTTTTCATGGCATACTGCTATATTGATGGTTTGAATAATGGTTACCACATTTGCTTTATGTATGGCCTTGCCTCTTGGATAATGACTGTCATTAATATTGTGAACACCTATATTATCATACACAGGACAAAGCACTCCCTAAAGTAGTTTATAAGGATATTAGACGTCTACCAGGACTTTGGGAAGCATATAAATGCTTAAGAGTGATTTATACACAGGGTTTCGCACTTCCTCTTAATTTACTAGTGAAGTATATTCCTCCCCGGTCTGTGCCTGCCTTCACTGTCTGCGACTTCCTATCTGTTCTGTGTGCTTTTCAGCACCCTCCCAAACTCCCTCTGCTTTTGCCCCCCCCCCCAACTTTTCAACCACGTTCTACTATAACTAATTTTACTATATCTAAATAGATACCATCCCAGGAAATGTAAGACCTTTGTCATATGCTAATCAAATCTCCTTTACATCTCCCATCAACTATGAAGTGTAAAGGTCTGATTAGATTACATTGAATGGATTGTTAAACTGGCCATAGAAGGTTCGAATCTCGCTCGATTCAGCAGGGACTGGCTGAGATTGTACCATGTTTAGACTGAATGTACCCAAATTTATTGATCGATCAACTGGAGCATGGGCGGACTGACCATTCGAGAACTCGGGCACTGCCCGACGGCCCGGGGTCAGAACGGGGCCCCATGAGATGCCCCTGGTACCTTTTTATAGGCTTTTTTTGAGTGTGGGCATGGACACGGGCCCCATGATCCCCTATTGCCAGGGGGCCCCATGAGTTTTCAGTCCGCCCCTGAACTGGGGTGCAACCAACCTGTCAGATTTTAATTGCGATTCTTGCTAGCAGCTATTATAGCTGCTAGCAGTAATCGCTGTATTCTCCTGACGGGACGACTCTCCCTGAATAAATTATAAGCTCTGGATGTTCCTCTACCACAGAAAACAATTATTTACACCAAACTAATCTATTTTATAGGTATATCTCAAGGAAATCATTAAAGTCAATGCATTCATTTAACTATTTAAAATTACTTGTTACATATGCATTGGATATACTTACATCAAGCCCCTCTTATATTCAGTTAGCATGTCCGCTTACTTCATTCCTTCTCTTTCCTGATTTCCCATCCTTTATCATTTCACTACTATCATAAGTCTTAAAGTGGTAGAAAGGGGGACATGTATTTTTGGAATGCTATTTATCAGCCTTTCAGAAAACACAAATGGCAGCCATTGCATTTCTGAATGGATTTCGTCATTGTTGGAAAGCTCAGATCACAGTCACAATGTACAGAGCTAATCAAGGTGGCTCTGTTCATTGTGATGGCTGTGATAACTAATTACAGTGATAAAAAATGGAAATGCTTAGAAGGAGAATTTAACAATTAAGTTTAAATGAATGAAGGGATTGTAGGCAGCAGCAGATTCACAGTAATATTTTCAACCCTTTCACACACCCCTCATCTCCATACTTTCTCTATGTGACATGTATATTAAAACTTTACCTTCCTTATCCTGCAAACTAACTCCTTCTCATCTTCATCCTCCCTCTGTATGCGACCTATACATGTATAGTTCATCAATACCAAGCTCCATGTATATACCACCTCAATACCAGCATGTTTCTTCATTTCCAATGAAATAGTAGGTGATGAGCTGAGCTACTGAGAGATAATTACTTGAACAACTTCAGCACTGATTGTCATGCACCTTGGTTGGAGACTGAGCTGACGAGAGGGTTTCCCTTGTGACTCTGGTCCGAGCACAGAGTGTGGTCCGGGCACTGCTGAGTGTATTGACAGAGGTACAAGGCTCAAAGAAGCATCTGTGCTGGTAACTTGGTAGCAGGTCAAGGCCAGGGTCAGAGACCTAGTCAAGCCAGGGTCATACACGGTAAGGCAAAAGAAATCGTAGTCAGGTAGCAGGCCGGGGTCAGTACCAGGGAACATCAGGAGGCAAGTCGAGGTCAGTATCCATCCAGAATCCACAGAGAAAGGTCAGAAGCAAGCCTGGTCAGCAATGGGAGATCAGTCAGCAAGAGCAGAAACACAGGTCTTGGGGAAGCTGAAGAACATCCAGTGATTAGCACACACCAAAGCCTTCTTTAACCGCTTGCCTACAGGGCACTTATACCCCCTTCCTGCCCAGGCCAATTTGCAGCTTTCAGCGCTGTTGCACTTGGAATGAAAATTGTGCGGTCATGCAACACTGTACCCATATGAAATTTTTATCATTTTTTTTGTGACAGAGCTTTATTTTGGTGGTATTTAATCACCTCTGGGTTTTTTATTTTTTCTTAAACAAACCAACAACCACTGAAAATTTTGAAAAAAAAAACATTTTTTCTTAGTTTTTGTTATAAAATTTTGTAAATAAGTGATTTTTCTCCTTCACTGATGTGCGCTAATGAGGCTGCACTGATGGGCAATGATGGGCACTGATGGGCTGCATTGATGGACACTGATAGGTAGCACTGATGAGGCACTGGTAGGTGGCACTGATGGGCATTGACAGGTATCACTGATGGGCACTGATAGGCGGCACCGACTGGCACTGTTAGGTGGCACTGTTAGGCGGCACTGATAGGCAGCACTGACGGGCACTGATAGGCAGCACTGATGCACACTGATAGGCAGCACTGACTGGCACTGATAAGCGGCACTGACTGGCACTGATAGGTGGCACTGATTGGCAGCACTGATAGGTGACACTGATTGGCAGCACTGATAGGTGGAACTGACTGGCATTGATAGGTGGCACTGGCACTGATGGGTGACACTGAAAGGCAGCTCAAATGGGCACTGATATGTGGCATTGATGTGGAACTGATGGGCACTGAAATGTGGCACTGGCAGGTGGCACTGATGTGCACAGAGCTGGCACTGATGGACACTGACAGGTGGCGCTGCTGGGGCTACACTGATCATCAGTGCTCTGATGATCAGTGTAAATGTCCCCTCCGAGGAATGCCGATTACCGGCTCTCCTCACGAGCTGTCAGCGTGACAGCTCATGAGGAGAGAAATGCCGATAACCGGCATTTCCCTGTTTACATGTGATCAGCTGTAATTGGACACAGCTGATCACATGACCGAGCCGACATCTTTGGCTCTTTCTGTAGATCGGTGATCCGCTGTGTCCGAGGGACACAGCGCACCGGCAATTGCCGCGCTGCGCGCTCCCGGAGGCAGGTATGCGCGGTGAGAATGGGAGGACGTCATATGACGTCCTCCCAGAATGAGAGAACTGCCTTGCGTCCGTCATATTACTATATGGCGGGCGGGAGGCGGTTAAGAAGACAACTTGGCGCCATTCCTCGGATATTGTGTGCGCTGGTGCGCATGGGTGTGTGTGCCAATGTGTACTGGTACACACAGCTGCCCGGACATCTCAGTACATGCTGATTACTGGCCTGAGCTCATCTGTGTGCTGGCACATGTGCATGAGCATTAGCTGCATGAGAATGAGCATTAGCATTATTTGTTTCCTGACACTTCTGCTGTGAATATTGAGTGGTGAATGGCTCCACAGTGCCTGCAGCTATTGAGGGGTTACTGAGGGCTTCTTTTAAAGCTCATTACTGTTAGTATCAATTATTTACATATTCCTAATATATCTGTATAACGTGTGCACAAATATATATATATATATATATATATATATATATATATATATATATATATATATACACACTATATTGCCAAAAGTATTGGGACGCCTGCCTTAACACACACAAACTGTAATGGCATTGCAGTCTTAGTCCGTAGGGATTGAGTTGGCCCACCCTTTGCAACTATAACAGCTTCAACTCTTCTGAGTAGCCCGTCCACAAGGTATAGGAGGGTGTTTATGGGAATGTTTGACCATTCTTCCAGAAGCGCATTTGTGAGGGCAGGCACTGATGTCAGATGAGAATGCCTGGCTCACAGCCTCCGCTCTAATTCATCCCAAATGTGTTTTCTTGGGTTGAGGTCAGGACTCTTAAGTTCCTCCACCCCAAACTCGCTCATCCATGTCTTTATGGACCTTGCTTTGTGCACTGGTGCGCAGTCATGTTGGAACTGGAAGGGGCTTCCCCAAACTATTCCCACAAAGTTGGGAGCATGAAATTGTCCAGAATGCCTTGGTATGCTGACACCATAAGACTTAACCTCTTCACGTCGGCCACACAGAAATGTGCGGCCTCCCGGCATCGGGGCCTAGATGCTGAGCGGCTGCACATTTGTGCAATTAAAAAAAAACATATGTGCTGAGATTGCGCTCCCAGCACACATGTCCGGTACTCACGGAAAGGTCCCGATCTCCTCTTTAGATTGGGACTTTTCCCGATCATGTGACCACCGTGACGCGAATCACGGCAGTCACATGACCGTAAAACCCCACCCTGGCTTCTGAAACCCTTAAAGGGCCAGGAGGCGTCGGCGCCAAGGGGTTAAGAGTTCCCTTCACTGGAACTAAGGAGCCAAGCCCAACCCCTGAAAAACAACCCCATACCATAATCCCCTCTCCACCAAACCATACACTTGTCACAATGCAGTCAGGCAAGTACCGTGCTCCTGCCAACAGCAAAACCCAGACACGTCCATCAGATTACCAGTCAGAAAAGCGTGATTCATCACTCCAGAGAGTATGTCTCCACTCTCGGAGTCCAGTGGCAGCATGCTTTACACCACTGCATCTGACTCAGTAATACCAAATCACATTATTATTTTGAGTTAAAAAAACATTTTTACCTGCCAGAAATGTAATAAACATGCATATTCTGAGCCTAAATCACATGATCCTTATTTTCAAAAAAGAGGATTTAGCTCAATCAAAATGCAGTTACATGGCTGAAATAACTATTAGTATCCATATGCTAAAGTGTTGTGAATTGAGCTTTTTGAGTCTATAGTTTATATTTAGCAGTGAGATAAAATTATAAAAAATGCCACCCCCTTGTACACACATGATTACAAACCAACACATAGCAAAAATAGGTTTAATACATTAACATTCAATAGTGAAATTTTCCAGTAAGTAGGTATTTTTCACAACGAAGGCCAAAGATATTTTTATTTTCATTCCAAAGATATGTTGTGTAGGAAAAAAAAATAAGGTACTCCCAGTCCTGGTGAACAATAATAAAATCAAGACAAGCAAAGCCCAAATTCGGGAAATGTGAAAGTTCTTCCTTGCTGTGGGGCTTCACCTGCACTGTAAGGCTGCATTCACACTTGAGCAATTTGTACCTTGAAGCTCGAAGCTTCAAATGCGCTCAAACTTAAAAAAATCAATTGTTCTCTGTGGTGCCTGTTCATGTGATCAAGTGTGAACAGGCACCATAGAGAACAATTGATTTCTTAAGTAAGGGTAAACTGCTTGTTTAGTCTAGGGAAGAGTTATGATCCTCTGCTCCCCCTGTAGACGGCACCCCCATACTCCAGCAGTGGATTGTCCTTCAGTATCATCACATCCAATGCAGAGCTATGGACCATGTATTGGTCTTGATGATGCTAGGACCTTAGACCGCCAGAGTATGGGAGAGAAGATGCTGCAGGGACCGTGAGGATTTGGTGAGTAAATCTTTTTTATGCCCCCTAGAACTAAATGAGCAGTCCCACTGCAAGGGAGAATTTTAAATTTTCCCATGGTTGGGTTTTAAATTAACACCAATATGTTCAAAGTAAGCAGCACCTACTCATAAAAAGCAGCAAAGAACACTCAGCAATATTGCAATGTAATCAGTCATAAAGTGATTATGAAACTATATCTAAGACAAGGTCTCCTTATAGTGGCTATATCTGAGTATGGTCTTGAGTATATTCCAGTGTAATTAAATTGTTTACAGATTTCCAGCGCTTATGAAATAATTAAACCCCAGTGACTAGAAAACTAAGGTTAAAAGGAAAGCAATGACTAAGTACATAGATACTTCAAAGGTTTTTTTTCTCCCTTTTAAAAAAGAAAAAACTTTTCTGAGGATTATGGATCATGGACAGGCAATCCCCAGATCAATTTCTAATCCCTGTGGCATGAAATATAGCAGAGAGAAGAGCGGTAATGTGTGGAGACAGATAATTTGATGGTGTGCATGTATTCCATTACATATCTGAGTTTGTGCCTCGCTGTCACATGACTCGTCTACAGTATCCATTAACACTTGTGAATTGGATGCTGCTTCATGTAATGGAGTAGTAGAGGTAGCTCCAGGATTTTGTTCATGCCATGATTGCTGTGTGCAGTGGGCCTTTGCTGCTCTTATCAAGCTGTATAAAAAATTCCCAAGGTTCATATGGGTGGAGAAATTTTCAAAAAGGAGGTTTGTTTATAGCTGCTATCCCCATACAGCCATAGCTTTGCACGTCTTACACCGTCCTCTGAAACAACGCAAGATTACTCTGAAAGGTAAAGATAATTAAAACTGTGATCATTGTATTCTGACGGTGGGGAAACCTGCAGCTGTCAGTATATGATAGCACAGTAGGAGGAACTGTGTTGAAGGGGGAATCCAACTATTTTCTTTTCTTCAACCCATGGTAGAAGGAAAGAAAATTGCACAATGCATGGCCAACCTAAGATCTAAAGTTAAAGTGAAACTCCAGAACTTTTTTTTGCGTATATTGCTTATTTACAGTTTTGTGTTTGTTTTGATTTTTAGAATCAGAACATTTATTGTCATTTTACAAGAACAATCATAAAATGAATAAAATACCATTTCCCAAAAAAGGCACCATGTAAAATAGTAAAAATATTTGTTGTTTTTTTAACTGAATATAGTTTTATCTTTTAGATTAGTAACAATTGGTGAAGTGAAATGTGCTAATAATGATTTTAGTGTATTTTTATTGAAAGTATAACTTTAATCATCATTTGCACAACTATAATGGGGAGCACATGCCATACTTGCAGGCCTTTTCTGTAAGCCATGAAGCCTGGCCAAAATACTTCCAATGTTTGCATTCCTACTTCCAGATTTATGGACTAGAGCAAAATGGTCACTGAGCCACCTTTTTGATGAGAGCTAAAGTGATCATCTTTTTGTGTCCTCAAACAAGGAGCCACAGTTTCCATTTCCATTTTCCATGTTCTGAAAATAAGCCAGTAAGTAGAAATGTAAACATTGGGAATATTTCAGCCAGCCTTAATGGGTGAAAAGGCTTACAGGCATGACATGTACATTTAAACAATATTTTTACAAATGGCACAGTGTATTTTAAACTATCGAAGACCCTTGTCTTTGTGGTCTAGCTTATATAAAAGGTGAACTTGGCCTTTAATTCTACAGGTCCTGTGCTTTCAGGAAATACAGTATATGGTTTGCATCGTCTTTTACTTAGTTTCAAAGTGATAAATGGGAAAAACTGTGAAAAATGGCAAAATTGTCTGGCAACCTGAGGTGAAAAATGGGATCAGAAGGGTTAAAGGCTCATAGTCCTCCAGGATGTTCCAGGATGTTCTTGTCAGAGCTTGTTAGGGAAAGAGAACTCAAGAAATAATCTCGTTCCAGCCTGGCTCTATTTAAATATGAAGTTCCAGAGTATACTGTTAGCCATGGTTCACATCTAGGCATGCTGCGTATAGGGAATTTCAATGGACTGCCCTACCTGCAGGAAAAGTAAAGTCTTATCCTTTCATTTGCACCTATGTTAAGTGCTAGCTGACTTTTTTTTATAGTTTCAGACTTTTGTAAACCCCTATTATTAGAAGCCCTGTGTAGGCTCCAGGTTGATGTTCCAGGTTGTAGCTTGCACAAGGTTTAGGATTCTCTCCCAACCCCCATGTGACAGCATTGGTTATTTTTTTGTCAATGCGTAAGGTAGGTCATAGATGGTGCAGTTTTTTTCACTTAACCAGCGGGTTGAATAGAAAAAAATATTCAATTCCCCATCAACACTCTCTCTGGGTTTGATTTACTAAAACTGAAGAGTGCAAAATCTGGTCAAGCTCTCCATAGAAACGAATCAGCTTTCAGGTTTTGTTGTCAAAGCTTAATAGAACAAGCTGAAGGTAGAAGCTGAATGGCTACTGTGCAAAGCTGCACCAGATTTTGCACTCTCCAGTTTTATTATTATTATTATACAGGATTTATATAGCGCCAACGGTTTGCTCAGCGCTTTACATTATAGTGGGAGACCATGCAGTAACGATACAGTTCAATACAAGAGGGATTTGACGGCCCTGCTCCTTGCAGCTTACAATC